CCTTCGCATGCTGTTTGCAATTATTTTACTCGTGTTCGGTTCGTCACCTATTTTGCCACAGGTTGCTACGATGCCAACACTTGTGAGTTCCCAGTCGATCGAAAAGTTGTCGAGCTTTTGTTGCCCATTCCGTGCAAGTGGGAACAAACACAGCTGCGGAACCAAGCCAAGGCCTTCACCAAAAACGAGGATGGAAATTTTGAGTGGGAGTCGAGGCGACTTCTAGTACGGTAGGGTTAAAACTATGCATACGGTAGGCGCGGGAGTCGCGTCAATGTGACAGTTCATCGAGAGCGGAAACGCCCTCAGATCTATGCCGTATGCCGGTACGCATCGTGGAGACTTGAAATTTTCGTTGAAGAAGAGTTCTTCGCCATAGCAGACAAGCAAATCAACTTTGTATACATTATGGATATTCATTGTTCCATTTGCTGCACAAGATGACTTTGTATCAATGCGACTGTGGATTCGGCAGGACAAGCGGAGCCACCGGAACGTCAATCACACATCACCTCAAAGGAAAGCACAGCTACGAGGTGAACGCAGCTTCATCAGGCAACTTTTTCTGCAATGCCTGTACGAAAGGATCTTATGGTAGCGGCAAGCGATTTGCTTCCTTTGAGGATCTGTTGGAGCATTTGGAAGACAAGCATTGCTGTGACTGCATTTCCAAGTCGGACTGCTGGGACTATACCACAGGACTGTATAAATGCGGTGAATGCAGTTTTGGATCTTCAACCGGAGCGGTAGCGGAAAACATCGTCTACCACATCAAAGGAAACCATAATGTGGATGTCGGCATTAGCAGCTCCGGGTACTTTTACTGCAACGATTGCGGCTCCTTTAGCCGCGGTAGAAAGTTTGACAGTTGCGATGATCTGATGGAACACTTGGAGAATCACCATGGCCTGGAGAAGCCCCGTCAGTTTCTTGGATGACTTACCTGTCCATAAAAAGTCCATGTCCTCGGTCACGATGATTGTATTTGGTGATGATCTCCATTCCTTGGTGCCTGGTTGTGTCCCTTTCACCAGTCACCACTGAACAAAGTATGATATTCCAGAATCAAGCGATAAATGTAGCATCTCATGTCGTCATCGCGAATGTGATGGGTGGACATCTCCTTTCCATGTTGGGCAATTCGTTCGGCCATTTCCGGGTGCTCATGTACCCATTTGACCTTGTCGACTAGATCAGTAAGATTGTAGTTCACTGGAACATAGTCCACAAAAGGACGGAGCCGTTCTGAGAACCATTCCCGATAACGTGTGGATTTGAAAAGGACAGATCCAAGCCTGAGCAATCTGGGGAATCGAGCCGTAAACGCTGAGGCAACAGAAGAAGTCAAGCCATGAGAAAAGATGACAAGTCATCTAGTAGCACGGAACCATTGCAGTTTGCTTGTCAGAAACTGCTCAAACTCACAATTTCCATCCACATCCATAATGTACTTGAAGAGTTGCGCCTCTTCGGGTTCCATGCGACGGGAGACTCGCCAATGCGGTGACATGGTATGTTTGTCTGTGTAGTTTTGAACAATATCTACAAAGGCAAAGTCGGCAATGACGGGGACACTGAGTGCAATGGGATGCGCATCGTTGCCTCCAAATCGTTCCACGAGATGAAATCTTGGCGAAACGCCCCACTCCGAGCCAGTGGTCGAACCCCTCCATACAATGGCATCCTTGCGATCCTTCAAGGCTGGCATGGAGGGATTGGGTGATGCTTCCTCATCATCATTGAGCCCAAAATGGTAGGGGACCATAATGCCCCGAGAATCATAGGAATCTGTGAATTCGGGATGAAAAATGGAAGCGTCGGCCTGCAGACGGGTGTATTGGTGTCGTTGTCCCAGCACGGATGGTGTGAATGATTGATCCATGAAAGTAGCCAATTGAGCATCCGATGGTGGGCGCTTGTCTTCGGTCATGTATCTCATTTTACAAACAGAAAACAAAGGAAGGGTATCACTGGTAGTGCCACGGGATGGATGATCGTGTAGATCAAAGAACAAGACTGATTGGAATGGAGGTTGATGTGCCAGTAGCGGCAGCAAGAGTTTTCGAATGTTCCTTTCTATCATGCTTTGTTGAACAAAATTCAAATGTATATTGTGGGAAGCAACCACGTTCAATTGGTGGTTTTCAAGTGTGAAGGCAATGTAGTTGTCTGTTAGCCTCTGCCCCGAAGAAATGACATCCGGATAGCGCAAGGGAGATCCCGTTCGGTTGATTTGTTCTCGGTATGACTTCAAATCTTCTTCGATGTAAGTGTAGAAATCCCTATCATTACACTTGTTGTCCTTGGCATATTGCAGCCACATTCGTAATGAATCGGGAGGACGGCGGTGGTAGCGAAGATAATAGTCTCGCTGAAAGTCTTGCCAACCGTTGCCCTGTGGATAAGATCTCTGCTCCCCTTCCGGCCGCTCCTCCACTTCCGGACGAGACGACCAGATTTTATCCTCCAACTGTCGATTCATCCCTACGTGGTACAAGGCGAGTAGAACCAGTGTCAGCAGCAACCCAGTTCGATATGTCGGGGGGCAGCACCTCGAATGCAAGTCATGGCCATGAAGATGACTGTTCTCATCATCAATATTGTTGTTTGTTGTCGTCGTGGACTGCTTTATCCCACGAGGCGAATCTTGCTCTTCCGAAACTGTTGGCCTCTTTCTATGGTGGATGTTTCCAGAACCATTGTTATCACTGAATCCCTCAGAAGAAACCTCCATTTGTGGCAATATCTCTTTCAAAGATCCGTCTTCTTCATTGGGCCCGAGATGTACAATAAAAATCAGACCAAGATACCTACCGGTACTAGCTAGAGTACCGGTATACGTTGGAATGCGAGAATAATAATATGCTTCAAAATGGAGCCTCGAAACACATCGTCCTCAGCCGCTTCTCTTTCCCCTATTGTTGTTCTCGCTCGGTTGCTGCCACCGTGCCATCAGGTGACTCGGGATTCTGTATCCTTTGACTGACAAATGGCTGGATGGTTCGATAACACTAATAATAATGCTGATAAAATAAAAACTTGTACCAGGTACCACAACGGTACTAGTACCACCTGTTTAGGACGGCTTAAACCCACTTGCTAGCTACTCTAGCTAGTAAGAAAAAGAGGTACACTTATAGTATGAGGCACAACACTTCATGCCGCTAGTACCTACTAGCTAGCACCCTCCGAATCCTTTGCCTCGCCCCCCTCGCTCCTTAACGTATCTATTTAGTATTTATTATTATTTGCCAATGCCAGATCCCCAGCAAGATGAGCTCGCGCTCACAGTAGACTTGCACTCAACATTCCAGTGATCTCTTGCACGGTTTCTCCCATATTCCTTTGCTTTAGCCCCGGCTTTGCTGTCTATCATAGACCCTTGAACTCAGCTTCGTGTTCTTGTACCTCGTGACTCGTGCCAACCCCAAATTCCGCCTTCGGATCTTTTTCCTGGTGTTCTCTGGATCATTGCAAGATACCTACCAACTGAGGTCGCTTGCAATTGCCTACCAGGATACCTTTCCCCTGCTTCCAACTTCCGCAGGGATGCGTTGATTGTCGTCATCTTCACTGTCATTTTCTCCCACTGGCTGGCTGGCTGCCCTACCCGTACTTGCTCTGCTGTCAACTAACAGGCAGAATATGCGGGTGCAAGTTCCAATCCGGGGGGCGACAAGCGTTTGTTGACTTGATCAACCTTTTTCCGTTCCACCATGTGCCCGCTTGGGAGCCACAACCGTGAGCCCTTGATCCGAATTCCTCGTGACATACACATTGCACCTACTTGACTTAATTAATACCAGGTTGGAGAAGGAACAATCTGACCTCTAACCAACTCTGCAAGCAAAAGATCCTTTTCTGCAGGCTACACCTTTGACACCTCTAGGCACTGCCCAAAGTCTCCGTCACCCTTTTCCAAACGGTTTCCCCGGTCGAACCAAGGATCTTTACTTGCTTTTGAGATCGGCAACGAACGCGTACTACCCCCGCCTGATTGCAGTCGGTTGAAGTCCTATTTCCCCCTTTGGTATTCCAAATCTCAATATCCCACGAAGTGAGCTCGCAGCAAACATAATGTGTTGCTTTGGTGCGCTGACCTTTTTGTCTATATCTTAGTCTACTATTAGTTAGGGGTCTTCTATGCATGCATTGTTTGTGACTGGACGCTCCTCCAAGGTTTGCATCGATTTTTTATGGTTTCTGCGGTTGGCTGCATCATGCTCACCCAGCCATCTTAAAGAGCCAATGCAGCACCAGCAAGGGCTCCGAAGGTAGCAAGAGAAGCCATGGCAGAATTAGCAGAGGAGTCAGCCAAGTGATGCTTTTCAACTGCAAATGGCTGGGGTTGGACCTCAACTGTTTCAGTCACCTCATTTTGAAGCTTACGGTGACCATCCACAATCTGGATATTCTTGCGCAAACGACGACCAGCAGGTGCTGTAGCAGTTCCTCCAAGTTCCAAGAGGATGCTTCCCTCTCCAGTCAATGTCAAGGCTTCAAAATCGTAAAAGTCAGCAAAGAGCAAGAAAGACACCAAACAGACATTGTTGTCATTTCCTTCATCAACACACTTCTTGGTGGAGAAGATGGTTGAGGCAGGAGCGGAGTCAGTGATGATGAGCTGAGAGGGCTCTGCAGCTTCAGCATTCCTGACAGTGAACTCCATGATATCCTTGACTTGGAACTGTCCTTCTTCAACCCTGAAGCAAACATTGAGAGTGCTTCCTTGAGTGGTGACAGAATCAGAACCATCATTGGTGAGAATAGTGTAGCTGTCAGGGTCACAGAAGTATGCCAAGAGAGAACCATCAAAGCTGAGAGTGGTGTCCTCAGCATCAGTAAAGGCCTCAGCTTGAGTGACAGTGTAACCAGTCAAGGTAGGAACTTGGGTCACCAAATCAATCAGGTATGTCAGCTTGACCTCAGCAAAGTCTATCAGCATAATGTCAGAGTAAAGTCCAAGGACAACACAGAAGTTGACCGCAGCATTGAGACCATCGTCTGCTTCTGAGTAGATGAGGGCATTTTCATTCACTCCTTCAACAAAGGAGAAGGAGAAGCCATTGATGCCCATACCAGGGTCATTGACAATTCCGGAGGTGTCCACAGCAATTCCAGAAACATCTGGGTTGGGATAGAAGTGACCAACATTGGTGCGCTCTGCAGCTACAGCTTCCTGGCGACACTTGTTTTCAACAGAAATCTTCACATTCACATTTTCACCTGCACCAGGTCCAGTCTCATAGGTAAAGTCCTGTCCATCAATGGTTTTGAAGTTGACACTCCAATCACCAATCTCAAGGGCACGAGCACGTTGTTCATCCTCACTGGCAGTTGCCAAGAGAGGGGCACTGAGTAGCAAAAGAGAGGAGAAGAATTTCATGTTGATGTTCTGAATCCGTTGATTTTGGCAAGTTGTTGTTGAGCTTTTTTTTGTTTTGCAAGTTGTAATTTGTGAGAAAAGATTCATGCATTGTTGTCCGTCAACTTGAAAGGAGGTGATGGACGGCAACAGCATTGGGGAGGACAGGAGGATGACCGGTGAGCTGAACGACCGAGCCTCCGGCTAGCTTGCTGGAGTAGCCGGTTAGATTCGAAGTTGGTAGTTGTAGCGCTACCGGTACGGGGCCATGCCCAGTCGAGCTCCTGTTCGCATCTACCACCGGTAGCTACCGTATTGCTAGCTAGTGTGCATAGCTCCATTACAGGAAACTGGCTTAATCCGTACTGGAGTTCCAAATAAATGACCAAAGAGCATCCCCAGCGACGCTACACTGGGCATTCGAAAGGAAACCGAGGACAGATCGGACTTATGCATTCTATGGACACATCTCCAATGTCACTACTGCTACTGTGCAACAATGCAACAAGGCATTAAGGTAGTCTAGCTCTAGCTGCTGGCTCCTTTCGCGCGTCCCTGTTTCCGCCCACGATCTCGCTGTACTGTGTCGGTACGGCACAGCGTGCCATGCGAAGCCTGGATTCTTCTCCCGACCACCACCTTCTTCCAGTGATCTCACAAGTGAGCTTCGTACAAGCTCTCTCTATGCATGGTTCCTTGCTAGCTAGCTGGAGTTAGTATGCCGGCAATAATGGTGAAGGAGCAGCGGTGCGATGAAAGCCGGTGGCGTGCTGCCAGAGCTGTCCCTACCGCGGCTGGTTGTGTATGATTTACGAAATCATCATCATTGTGGCGACAATTTGTCAAACCTGATAATACATGTAGTTGGCTACCTGCAGAGCGAAGTGTACAGCTGGACTCCTCTCCAGCTGGGCGGAACAAGCGAAAGAGGCCGCCAGGATTAATCAACTTGTTTCCTCGTCCTGCACGGTGATGCAACGGCGACCTCCCTGGCAGCTGCCAACGACCACGAAGCAAAGCAAACAACATCTTTGCAAGGGGCTCGGTACCACAAGCAATGCAGCTAAGAGCGTCAATCCAGAGCCGCTGTACACGACTCCCCAAGAACCACGTCATTGCTTGCAATTTGCTTTCCAAACCCAAACAATGGAGGAGGTAGTGGTACTGTGACGAGCAACGGAGGTAGGACGGGAGAACCAACACCTCCCCAAGATGGTTCAATCCATCCCAGAAGGCACATCCAAAACCCAACTCTCAAGTGGCGTCAAACAAGGGCCACCAGAACCCATCGTGTGGAGCGACTAAGGGATGCGAACGAGTATGGGACATGAACAGAGTATAGATCTACCGTATGCATGTGATAACAGCTTGGAAAATGATCCTGACGAGCCTCAAGGTGCGCTGAACCAACCTTCCTGGCGGCAATCACCAAGCACACTGACAGTCGTCTCCGATGCCGACACAGCCCATTACTCAGAACGCTGCCAATCATTTCCAACGCCTACACATCCTACATGTATTACTCTGTAAATTTGCACAATATAAATCCGTCTATAATATTACTATACGTGCAGAAAACCAACAGCCACTGTCAGGCTTAAGGCTTCCAACGCTTAGTTGGGGAAGAAGTTCTCAACATTTCCAAGTTTGTCGTGAACCATGAGTCCCAAAAGACCCATTTGGGCGGCACGTCCTTGGTTAATTTCAAGAGCACGCTTGGTAAGCTTGGTCTCCTCATCGAAAGAGTCCCAGCCGAAGTCAAGGGCTCCATTTCGGAAGTCACCAACGTGTTCGTTTCCGGTTCCTTCAATGTCCTTCATGACAGCAAGCTCCAAAAGGCCAACGAAGGCCAAGACTTGAAGGGCACCGGCAACAGGGACGGCGAAGGAAGCATCCCATCCGTATCCGAGGTCGGAGAACTTGGTTCCAGAGTAGTCAATGTCTCCTGGAAGGTAGACTCCAGCGGCATTGAGAAGGTATCCAACAACTCCAAGCATACAGATACGTCCGTGCTTGATCTCAACATAACGAAGGCGGTCGAACTTTTCTTGGTCTCCATCAGCAACCATGCCAAGGGGATCGAAGAATCCAAGAGGAGCCTGGGCACCAAGTTCATCCTCGAAAGCCATGTTCAAGGCAGTGCTGCGGGAAGCATCCTTGGCAGGAGCAAAGGCAGCAGCAGAGGCAATAAGAGAGGCGATGATGGCGGTCTTCATTTTGATTGTCTGATTTAATAGTAGATTAAAGTAAGATTGTGATCTTTGGACGAGACTTTTCCAAAAGGAGCGGGTTGATACGGAGCATTGGAATTCAATTCCTTTCAAATCGAACGCTTTCCCGGCCCGATCATTGCCTTCAATGAAGCGACGTGGCCGCGCCAAGTTGAAGATACCCAGCTGAACCTGGATGATTTTCTCCGCGCTGCTTGCAAGCCAGTCAGCCGCTCTGCCGGTTTTCCTCCTGCTGCTTACTACCGGTATCGCTGTGCGGCTGGCTGGAGCTGGCGTACCGCTACTAGCTAGTAGTCTAGCTAGTCTAGCTAGAGCTAGAATGCCTCTCGATCATCGGTTAACGTTGGTTGTCTTGTAGTCCAGACTCGACTCGATGCACCAAGCCTTGAACTCCGCCAAGAACCTCTTCGAGGCCAATGCAAAGATAGTCCAAAGATACATTCAACCGTGACCCACAAACGAATCTTGTCGTATCTTTTGGAGGGGTAGGGATAGGTAGAATCAATCCTCATTATTAATAAGATAGATGGAAATGTTTTCAGTCACGGAGAAGTACATAGCGCCGATGGTTCAATTGCAATGACAGAGAAAGGAGCCCATCATGAGAAACGAGATCAAACAAGGACAAGGAATCGGTGGGATTAGCATGTAGTTAGTTCATTAGGTTCTAAAAGGGGACAGCATGGCAGCATTGTTCCGCTACCCCCTCGCTAGCTGCTACCGGTAGGTTGGACAACATCAGAACCTGGGGGCGTTCACTTTGTGATGGCATGTGCTGCAGAGCTGTGCTTTCTAAGAAGTTATTGACGACGACGAGTATCCAGGACAACGCCAAGACTCCAACTAGCTAGAGCCGCCGTTTGTTCATGACTTAGCATTGCTATTGCAACTTCCTGTGCGAACGACAACTTCATGATAGAAACAAATCTAGTAGTACTGTCCATCTTGCTTGTAGGAGCAGCCACCATTTGGATTGCGTGCCATAAACTACTCGGAACAAATGATTTGAACCTTCATGGTAGATTTCTCGGCAGCGCATTGGATTGCCTCCACTGCTTGAGACAAGGGAAACGTCTTGGTAACATATTTTTCGACTCGCAGTGGAGGCAAACCGCTTGCCTCCGTTGTTTCCTTCGTAATAGCCAACAAGTCCAATGCGGTATGGATCGGTCCACACCGCGACCCAATAACCTTCAATTCATCAATGACAAACGGAGCTGCATTGAAATGTTCTCCAGCAGCACAAGTCGACTTTAGAACCTGTGGATGGATTGTTGCGGATTGGGTTTTTGGATGAAAGGAATTCAATCGTATCAATCAATCAATACTGAGACTCGGATTCGATTCATTTGCTCTTGCCATATTTGTGTGTGTATGCTACTTACCAAAGTTCCCATGGGCCGACACAAGCCTGCTGCCAATTTCAATCCTGCTGGAGACCCTGTGGCATCTACCACCACATCGTATTTGGCAGCATGCTGTGCTGCCACTCCACTGAATGCTTCCGTGTCAATGCATTCGGAAACCAGCCGACAATCCACACCGCTCTCACTCACCAAATCCAGTTTGTGTTGGTGTTTTCCAAACATGACGGGTCGCGGGTGATTGTTGTTCTGGCCAAGTCGTTTGGCATGTTCTCGTCCCAAGACCTCTGCAATCATGAGTCCTAGTTTGCCGTCTCCCTGGTTTCATCCGTGGAAACACAAAATTGTGAGTGACATGCAGGAAGGGAATAACTGAATCCACAAATACACTTTTGTGTGCGTGGACGTACCAGTATTGCCACTTTATCGGGTGGATCGCTACTATCATAATTGACCAGTCCTTGTTCCACAATACGACAAGCCGCTGCCAGGGGTTCGGCAAACACAGCCGTGGCATCGTCCATGGTGTCGGGTACTTTGTGTAGATTGGATACCGGCAAGGTCAAGTATTCGGCCATGGTGCCATTCTTTTTGAGAATGCCCAGGACGGTTCGATTGGGACAATGGTTGCGCCCCATTTTCGAACAACGACCATCCAAGCATCCATGACAAATGTCGCAGGAAGCACATCCCACGTTAATGTCACCACAAACCCGTTGATTCAGCCATTTGTCTTTGGTGGCTGGATCGGTCGTATTCACTTCCACTACTCGACCCACAAATTCGTGGCCCAGGACTCCTGTAAATCCCATGTATCCCTGCAATATCTCCAGGTCTTTTTTGGAAGAAGAAAAACAATCAGTCAGTCAGAGCATGAGCCTGTGAGATGACGAATACATGGGTTGGGGTAACAGGGGTATCAGACAGTACAGTACCTGTATTGCACACTCCGGCACGAAGAACCTTAATCAAGGCATGGTTTGGTGACGGTTTGGGGATAGGAAGGGACACCAGTTTGCCTTCCTTATCACCAGATTTCTCAATGGCAAAGGCTTGCATCGTGCTGGAATGAGTTGCTTTTGTCTGGTACTGAGTGGCAGAAGAACTTGTCCTCGTGTGGTTGTCGGTTGTCCTGTTGTCCTGTTGTCGGTTTGGATGTCTGGATCTTTCAGAAAGGAAGGGATTTGGGGTTAGGGAATGAAAGTAGGGGGATGGCGAATCTTGCTGCCGGTACCGTGTTAGAAAGGTATTTTCGTATGAATGGGAAGATATGCGTGATTCTATGTTACGTGTGATGACAATCTCACCATTGGAGAGAAGACGATATCAAGGAGTGCTTCAAGGGATTAAAGATCGAGGCTTGAACATGACCATAGAGTACGAACTCACGGACTACCTGAGCTGTGAGATTCGGATGAATCCCCGAAAGGATGCTGCAATGGGTGGGACAACCCCACATGATCAAGAAGATCAAACCACATTCGGAGAGGAGGTACAGAAGCTACCCAAGTAACAAAACTGCGGGAACACCTGGACTCGGATAGTAAAGACAGACGAACAAGAGCGAATGGATCGCTGAAGAACAACAGAGCAGATATCGAACAGGAGTAGGCATGCTCATGTTACCTTATCAAGCATTCAAGGCCAGAAATCTCAAACGCGGTACGAGAGCTACTAAGGTCTTGGGATGCGCAAGCCAGCAGCGTACAAGGAAATGCTACGCTGTGTAAAGTGTGTTGGACTCAAGGAACTGTGGACTTTTGATGAGACAGAGAAGAACGAAGGACCGTGGAAATTGGAAGTATTTCGGATTCGGATTGGGCCGGAGACAAGAACAACAGAAATCAGTCACGTCCATGATGATCTTTCTCGAAGGTGTACTCATTCACTGGAGGTCCAACTACAAAGGTCGTAGCATTGTCGGTTCCGAAGCTGAGTTCTCAGTCAGCCCTCGCTCTTATTTATATCTCTTATTTATTCCCTCTATTATATTTATTAAATCTCGAGTCCCCCCCCCCAGTCACGGAGTACCGTGACATGAGAGGAACAAATCTTCGAGCAGCCGCACAACGTGACAATCCATTCCAACCTTTTCAATTTGACCGAGATGCATGTAAAATGCCGATATAGATCCAATGACGTGGGATTCCTCGCACCTGCGGTACCTCTGCACGCACCTCTCAGAGGCTGTCTCGTCGTGCCAGCCCAAGCCCTGGTGGCTTACGTGCATTTTTGGAAGGATGTGACCAGACAAAACAATATTGTGAGCTGCCAAACATTTCACAGCAAACCATACAAAGGCTCCAATCCGACCTAGACCAACATGAACGACGCGGATTGGGCTGCTAAGGCAGGCAAGCGAAAGGTGATAGCTCCCTTCATTGTACTTTACTAGCAAATAAGGCCCTAGAAAAGGCTTATATTTATGCCCTCCATTATATTTATCAAAGTCCAGGATACCCCTCATAAATAAGAGAGAGGGCTGACTGTACGCGTGTGGCGAAGCAGTGCGAGAAGTCCCGTTCATGGCGCAGATTCTGAAGTTCCTAACGATCAACGTGGAACTACCTGTGCAGTGAAGATCGATAACGTAGGTGCTATCTTTATGTCAGAGAACAAGACAAGTGCAAGTCGACAAAGGCATATGGATACGAGGTGGCACTCGTGAACCAAATGCAGCAGGACGGCCTAGTGAAATTGATTTCGTTCGCTCGGAAGACAACGTGAGTGACATTGGAACCAAGAATGTCACCGTCGAGACCCTCGACAGAAATGCACCGAAACTAACAGAAGACAAGGAGCAATTGGTTGAGTTGGTAAGAAGGTCCTGCCATCATCGCGAAAAAAGGAAGGGTTGTTAGAAAGGTATTTTCGTAGACGGACAGACGACTCGGATCCACAATCACGGTCTAGTCGTGTGTATTGGGGATGTGTACTCAAATCAGATGGTTATCCGATTATCATCAGATGGCCAGGTGTACAAGTAACGAGGACAATGGTCGTCTAGATGATGCAACTACAAAGGTTAGGAAGTTAGGTCGAAGAGATGAATGCAAGGAGCGAGGGATGGAACAAATGAAGGACGGATGAAGGTCCATAGTTTAGTAAAGAAGTGGGAAGCCCTCCAGAGCCAACCATGCACTTCAAGAAGATAGATTCGACGAGATCTACCTGCAGATGAAACTGCGAAAAACAGAGGATCGAAAGAACCTGGTA